AGAGGGAGAGGGAGAAGCAGGCTCCCCGCTCAGTGGGGAGCCCGACGTGGGGCTAGATCCCAGGACCCTGGAATCAGTGACCCGGGCCGAAGGCAGCACCTTAACTAACTGAGCCACCCAGGTGCCCCTGCTCAGTATATTTTTAGTTCATGTCATTAGGTCATGCAGGTTCATGATTGCTGTCTTCTTTTTGTTGTTCTGTAATGCACTTCTTTATTTTTACTAAAGCTTTTTTCCCTTAACTTGAATTTTGGCTGATGCTATTATTATACCAGCTTTCTTTTTGATGATTTCTACTTAGTTTATCTTTTTGTATCCTTTGATTTTTTAATTATGTACTATTTCACACATTCAGAAAGGAAAGATGAATAATTTTTAACAAACCTCCATGTACCCTCTACCTGGCTTGAAAGGGAGCATTCAAAGGGAGGTGGCGCCCCTTGAGTAGAACTCCTCCAGCCCACCTCCCAGCAGCACAGCACCCTGAATCTGGTGTTTCTCATTCCCATGTAAGCTTTTATACTTTAACTGCATGGATGCCATAAACAACACTGTTTTGCATGTTTTCATCCTTATTTAAATAGTATCATATGTTGTGCATTATTCTGAATCTTACTTTTTTTTTTTTTTTTTTGCTTAATATTATATTTGTGAGATTCATCCACGTTAACACATTTAATTCTAGGTCATTCATGTTCCTGCTGTACAGATAATACAACACACTTTTCTTATCCATTCTTGTGACGATGGACATCTTTGGTGACTCCCAGTTTTTTGCTATTATAAGTGATGCTGCTGTGATGCCTCATACGCATCTCCTTGTGCAGTTGGGCAGAAGACTTCCCCGAGCACAGACCCACAACAGGAACCACTCCCATACAAGTTCCAGGTATTAGGTTTTACAACATTACTACCCACAGTGGTTCTACCAACCCTCCAAGAGCATAAAAGAATCTTCATTTCTCCACATCTCCTCTATAACTTGATATTAGATTTCTTAACTTCTGCTAAATTGACAGGTGGAGAGGTTGTCTCATGCTGGGTTTAATTTGCATCTCTAGCAACATTGGTAATTGTTCTTACTGGTTTATTTGTCAGCCCAACTTCCTCTCCTATGAGATGCTTATTTACGCTCTGCCTTTCCCTATGATACTATTTGTCTTTCTCTTTGATTTGTGGAAGTTCTTGATATGTCTCGGACACTTCAGTGGTTATTCTAATACTGTGGAAATGTCTTCTCCAAGTTCATGACTTTTTTTCAACCTTTTCGTGGTGTCTTTTGATGCACAGTCATTTCTATTTTAACAGTCAAATTTGTCAATATTTTCCTTTATGATCTGTGCTTCTTATATCTTAAGAAGGATTTCCCTACCTTGAGTTAGTACCATTACACTCCTGTACATCCCCCTAAAATTTCAGATTTGCTCTTCACATTTAGGTCTTAATCTATCCAAACTGATTTCAAATATGGAACAAATTAGGAACCCAATTTCATGTTTTGCTCTATGGATAACCAAATTGTCCCATACCATCTGCAATCACAACACTTGAGTTTTCTGTGTATACAAATATTTTAGCTGTGACTATTCTTTTTCCCTTATCAATCCTGAGAAATTGTGTTCCATATTTTCTTGTCCTACTGCAGACCACAGACACCAGCATAATCTGCTAAGACTTTTTACTTGAAAGGAGTGTTGGGTTTTATCATGTGATCTTACCTTTTTAGAAAAAATGTATTATGCACATTTTCAGACATACATAGAGTGTACTGAATCCCCATGTTCTCATCACCCAGCTTCCACAGTGAACAAATCTCCCGATCTTGTTTCTCCTGTCCTCTCACTCTGTGCCATGGTCTTGCTGGAGTCACATGTTTTTTCTGATCACACGGTGTTTTCCTTCCTTAATTGGCTAAGATGATGAATTACATTAATAGGCTTTCCAATGTTAAGTCATCTTGCATTTCTAGGATAAAGTCAAGTTGATCATAAAGATGATTTGTTAATTTACAAGCATATCCAATTTGATTAGATATTACTTCCCTTCTGTCTCTGCATTTGTGATCATGACCTAAGACCCCCACTGACCCCCCCTCTTATTCACATGAATGTTAACCTTGTCTTTTCAGGAAGAGCTCAGTCACTGATTCCCACCTGTGTAGGTGTGGGGCAGTTCCCTCTGCCTCATTCTAATATGAAAGTCTCCTTCCACGGGGGAGCACAAACCCCATTAGCATGACATACGAACAATGCATGTATAGACATGTTTCCTGAGTGTGCATGCGTGACCTTATGCCCACCTCTATATGCACTGACAAAGCTCCCCTTTCTGAATATTCATCTGAGCCCTAAATCAAAGGAACTCACTCATCCCCACATGGGGAGTCATGGCTTCGGAAGTTATTCCTGGTGATCTCTTTATTTACTGCAAATAAAAGCTTCCTTTGTGCAACAACCCACCTCCCGCTGTAGTCTCTTCCTGTGAGTCACCAAGCAGTGGACTCACATTAGTTCAGTTATGGTGTTTTATCAAGGTTATTCTAGTCTCTTAAAGTCAGCCAGGTACCTTCCTTTTTGTCTTCTCTGGAGTCATCTGCATAAAATTGGAATAACGTCTTTCTTAAATTTTAGTAGAATTCACTCATAAAATTACCAGAACATGGTGGCTTGGGTAGGCAGATTTTTAATCATTCCATTTCTGAAATAGTTCAGGTCTTTAATTTCTTCTTGGGTTAGTGTAATGTTATTTATTTATTTTTTTTTTCTAAATCATTGGCTTTGCTAAATGTATAAACGTCTGTGGTGCTTTCAGCAATCAGGGGTTGGTAGCTCTCCATATCTGCATTTGAACGTGTCCAGTTCCCCCTTGAGCTTGAACCTCAGCTCTCTGGATCGGCATTCTGGGGTCATGGGGGCTGTTCCCCAGGATTTCAAAGTTCCTTCCCCAACCCTTGCCGTCAGACTGTCATTCTTCTGTGGGGAATCTCTCTCTTTATCACAACACATCCAGGTTTGACATTACTCTTGCTTGGCCCTCCGAGTGCACGCCCTCTAAGACTCGCCCGGGACAGTGCTGGGCTTCACCCCCAAGTTCCCCCACATCTTCCAGCTCACCCATCCTTTCTTAGGTCATGTCCACGGTATATTTGGCCCTTTAATTTTCTATTTAAAGAGCACTATTTTTCATTCTTAGGATTTCTACTTAGTTCTTTTTCATATTAACCTATTCTTGGTTCTCGGGTATTTTCTTCCATAATTCTGTGTTATGTGTTACAAGTTCTTCCTCAAACACTGGGTAGATCTCAAGCACATTTGATGCAAAGTCACCTGCATTGTTCTCTTATTCCCATTTCTTTTGGAGTGAGCTCACCTTCCGACTGCACATGTTGTCCGCCCTCTTCGGTGGGATCAGCTTCACCATGGTTCAGTCTGCCTGCTCACCATGAGCAGACCTGATGTTGTTTTCTTCTTGGTCACACATTCTCCCTACCCCTTCCAGCCCCATTCAGAAGCAAGAGTGAGCTCCCATCCTGGGATCTCAGGCCCCGGCCCAGCACCATCCATGGAATGTGCAAGCCTGGTCTGGCCAGCCATCTGCTCCTGCGAACTTCTCGGCCTCCCCCAGCCATAGTCACCCTCTCCCAGCTCTGCTCCTCTGCTCCTCAAAGGGCCACACACCTTCCCCAGCAACGAGTCAGGCAGGCCACACATGGATGCTTCTGATGCCCAGCCTGCCTGCCTCGCCCGGACCACATCCCAGGTGCCCCGGCCTCTGCATCTCTCCTTACTGTTCCATTTCCAGCCCACAGTTTGTTTTCTGCTTGGCTGGATCCTTTTAATTTCTAGGTGTATTTATTCTCTTACTGCCATGTTCCAGAGCAGAGGGGGGTCTGAGGTCCAAACCAGAGCATCATCTGACCAGAAGAACCCATCTTTTCCCTCTAACTTTGACTTCCTCTTCCCCTCTGTCCCACACCACCACCATTAACCAACCACATTCCACTCCTTTCCTGTAACAGACAGAACAAAGCAGAGCTCTGTCAATCATGTCACCTCCCTGCTTTGGCGAAGCCTGTGGGCCTGGCTCTGAAGGCCCATCCAACTTGACCTCTGCCAGCCCCAATCCTTCTGCCACAAACCCTATGCCTTTGCTGCCCTGACTCCACTCACCTTCCTACTGCGGTGTCTGGAACACATTCCCACCGATTCCCCTTGCCTGACTTCCAAGGTCCCACAGGGCAGCCCTAGGAGCTCCTTCCCATCACTGAACAGATCACACTGCACAGGAAAGGTCATGGCCGCCCTCTGCTAGAGGCCCCAACTTGGAGACCAAGGGCAGCCCCACAGGCCAGGGGCTAAGCTGAGCCTGTTGGACTTCCCTAAGAGTCACCCTGGGCAAACAACAACCCACCCCAACCTGCTCAACAGCAGGCATGGCATCCGAGGAGGCTTCATAAGACAGAAACACTTGGCACTGCCCTATCGGTGAGGCCAGTCATGGGGGGCACCGGGGTGCCGGGGGGCTACAGCCCTGCAAGGGGGCCAACTGCTCAACCAAGAGAGTCCTCAAATGGGAACCCCTCCGAGAGGGCAGAGATCGCCTGAGTGACAAGGTTTGCCTCACAGAGGACTCAGCTTCCCCAGGAGCCGTGGCGGGCGTGATCTCCAGACACAAAAGAGAACTGAGGGACCCCTGGGCCTGACAAACGGGAGGGAGAAGCATGGATAGCACTCTGTTGTTTTATTCTCAAAGGGCAAGACAGCTGTAACTGCAGGCCCTAGGGGCTGGGAGAGAAGGTGGCGGCTTGAAGCCCAGTGGCCACAGGACCGTTGAACCCCCAGGGAACTCACGCTTCTTGGGACCCGGTTTCCCTCCAGACCCAGGCTCTAGACTTGGTGACAGAGTCCCACGGACTGGAGACCTCCCTATGCTCATCTCCCACTTGTTCTCTCCTGTTTTCTGGAAAGTTCTGTCTGAAATGGTGGCTGTCTGGCTGTGCAGATGCTGACAGGGAAGGCTGCCTTCCCCATACCTGCAGAGCCGAGCAGGCCAGGAGTGTGCCAAGAGCCAGGAGCCTTACCTGGAAGACAGTGAGAATGGCCGCGGGGAAAGTGTCAAAGTTCGTTGTCGGGGTCTCATCCTTAAAGTTGAACCTGAGGAAAACAAGAAGTCTTGGGAGGAGGCCGCCCCACCAGAAGCCAGGGGATCTGGCACCTCGGCTTGCAACACTGTCCCAGGCTGTGGGTGGGCTGTGTGCTCGGCGCCATTGTCCCCCTGGGGGACCTCCAGGCGGCAGACAGGTGGAGGGGGCCTGAGCAGTACATCTGTTCTGAGCTCTGCCTCCCCAGTGGGGCCCTCAGCCTCATACGACCCCCTCCAGGGCCCACTTACTGTCCCCCGAACAGCTGCATGCCCAGCAGAGCGAAGACCACGATGAACAGGAACAGCAGGAAGAGGAGGCTGATGATGGACTTCATGGAGTTGAGCAGAGACACCACCAGGTTCCGCAGGGAGCTCCAGTACCTGTCGGGGCAGGTGGGGTGTGTCCACGCCCAGCTGCGCCCACGCGGAGGCGCCTGCCCGCATGCAGATGCCACACTCCAGGGCTCTCCCAGTCACACCTGTGGTTTCCGAGGCCTTCTAAACCCCAAAGGCCCCACACCTGGAGGCCAGAGCTCTTCTCCAGAGAGTTCCAGATCCTCCACTGGGGGTTCCGGGGGCGCGGCAGAGATCCTGTGTCCATTGCTCGACTCACCCTCATCTCCCGAACCTGCCCCTGTCACTCTGCCTGGCAGAATGGCGCCCGATCCCTCTCCACCCCTCAACACCCAAGCAGCTTCCAGCCATCTCTGCCCAGACCATGAGTAGAGAAGGAGCTGGAGCAGAACATAATCAGCCCCACTGGCCTGCATCAAGCCGGTCCTCAGGGCTGTGAGGCGTGATGTATAACCCGGTGTGAATGCCCCTCTCAGCAAGGGCCCAGGACACAGCGTGGATTGGGGGCGACGGCGCTGCGAGACCATTTCCCTGGCACCCCACAATGCCCACCCCTCCGTCACACTCTTCAAACGCTCCTGGAGGGCAGAGACCATGTCTCTGGGCATGTCTCATGCAACTGGACCCCATGGCACACGGGCCCCACTAAAGTCCGTGGTGGCCTGGTTGTTGATAGCTCACTCACGGGGTGACTGGGGGTCCAACCCCATGTCCGCATCTGGAGAGCTCCTCCCCAGAAGAGGCCGGGGCATGTGGCTTTCCCTCCAGCCACCTCGAGACATACTACACACCTCTGTGTCTCCATCACCGTGGACAGGTGGGAGTGGCAGGACAGACAGCAGTCACTGAGCATCCCTGGCCCTGTCCTCCCAAGGGCCAATGGCACAGAGGCTCACCTATCTTCCATGGATTCTCTTACAAGGCACTTGAGGGTTCATGGAAGATGGGCTGGAAAACTCTGGAAAAGCCAGCCCTCCTCAGGACAGGGGTGGCCTGGCTTCTGGAAGGAAGCAGAGCCCCTAAAACACCAGGCCCCACAACCAAGGTGAAGGCAGGTCTTGCAGTCACCTCCCGGAGCGAGGTACCAGCACAGCGCGGGGAAGCAACAGAGGACTGGCTGCATGCCACACGAGACATCCAGCAGTGTTTGTGGACTCAGCTAGACCAGACTCTCGCCCACACTCTCCTGCAGTGACACCATCATGTCTTCAAATGGTCTCAGGTTTGGACTTAAAACAGATTGGAGAAGACCAGTAGTACTCCCATCTACCCTGGGGAGATCAGTGGGGTTCTGTAAGGTCACTGGAGGGGTGACCTGGACCCCAGGGCCTCCTGCACAAGCTCACTGTTGACAGCTCTGCTCCTTGGGTCCTGCAGCTGTCATGGTCCAGGCTGCTGGGGAGAACTGCATGGAAATCCATGCTGGAGCCTGTGTGGGCGGCTACACACTCATGCAACGGGAGTCCAAAATTCAGGGTAGGCGAGGTCCCCGCTGTGGTGTGTGTGCGGCCACAGCTAAGACCAGCTGAGAACAGAGCAGGCTTTGCTGTGGGTGAGACAGCTATGGGTGAGGCGCACCCCCTCTTCCCACCACTAGAACCCTGGCAGAGAGGACCAGCACTCGCTCAGTAACTGCATCACACCTCCGCCCTGGGCCTCAGCCCCCTCGTAGACAAAATGGTGCAAATGGCTTCCAGGGTTACGTAAAGAACCAACTGGAATAGAAGAGAAGACACAGGCCTGTCACTGCCCTCTTGCCACAGCTTAAACGGGGCCGCGTCAGGCACAGGGTGGAGAAAGCGGGCCTGGGAATGGGAGCCACGGAGGAACCATGCCGGCTCAGGTCAGGTCAGAGTCAGTTGAGGCCTCCCTCCCTTCCTGGGGTGGGGCTGCAGGGGAGGTGGGAGGACTTGGGGGTGCGATGATAAAAAAAAAACTTCCATCTGATAACTTCTTTTTTCTCTGTTAACCATGAAGCAAAGTAACCCTTTGAAAGTTGAAAGATGGGACTGCTGGTTTCAAAGGAGGGCACAGTATGAAACTGCAAGAAGCAAGCTAACTAGAGAACCAGGAATCCTGCCGGCAACATTGGGGCCAATCGGGAACAACCCTGAGGATAGATACGGCCCCCAGGGCCGAGCCGAGACAGAGTCATGCTGGGCAGGTGCTTTATAACTGTCTTTTGTATTTAAACCAATTATAAGCACAAAAAGAGATTCCAGACATCTGAGTTCAAGGCCATCACCATGAATTCCTGGGAAGAAGCATGCTGTGTAGGCCAGTCTCAGATGTGACCAGCATTCCCCCCTCCCCTTCACCCGGGAGCACATAGGTAACATACTTTGTGACTTTGAAGATCCTCAGCAACCGGAGTGCCCGCAGCACACTGATCCCGAAGGAGGTTCCTGGCTTGATGGCAGCCCAGACCACTTCAAAGATGCTCCCCACAATGACCTGCACGGGAGACAGGGTCAGCCTCAGGTACATGCCCACTCATCCCACACCTGCGCCTCTGTATGAAGCATCTCTGGATCACACCGTAAGCATCCACAACACACGGTCCACGCCTCACATTGAGCTCCTGCAGCCTTCGGGGAGCACACACCAGTCCGGGTGCTCACCTGCCCCCTAACATGCCCACCCTGGACGCACCGCGGGGACACAGGATGTGGAGCGAGCGTAGGCCTACTGCTTTCCTGACTGGCCAACCGCAAATCAGATCAGCTTAGCATCAACGTTCTCCCACAGCACTGAGAAACTGGTGAATGTGCCAGGATCAAGGCCCTGGCCATGACTGGAGACCCCTGTCGCGTTTAATGCTGGTCCATTAACCTGCACATCTGCTCTGGCAGGTCACCCCAAATGCACAGCCATCCTCTGCATGTCTCTCCATGCTGAACACAGATGTATCGCTGAGAGACCACCTGACGTCCTGTGACGTCCAGACAGCCGAACAGCTGCACCCCTCGTACATCCCAGGCAGCACAGCACATGGGACAAGCTTGCCACCACCTGTCGTTGGTGACCCTGAGCACCTCCACCAAGTTTCCACAGCATGCACACAGCATCCGATGTTTGTCTGGGGCTGGAGCTCATAGTTTCCTAAATCTGTGTTCTTACTGTTGGTCTTCCAGCATCTCTGTCTTTCCTTAATCCTCAGAATTTGTTCCCATTCGTCCATGACGCAGGTGGCCCCTGAGATGGCCCACAGTGATCCCCACTACTCGGTATCCCAACCTTGTATAGCCTTGTCCCTCAGGGATGGGTTGGACCCAGTGACTCACTTTTAGCAAACAGAATGTGACAGAAGTGATTGGCTGTCACCCCTGAGATTCGGTCACAAAGACTGGCTTCCTCCTCGGTGCTCTCAGCTCTGCTGCAGGTCCCCAGCTGCCATGACGTAGGACATGAGGGAGCCTGGGGAGAGGCCCCCCTGACCAGGTACTGAGGGCTGTCGGCCACAAGCAGGAGCTTGGGTGTGAGCTCCCCACCCCAAAGAGCCTGCGGTTACTGCAGCCTTGTGGGAGAGCGAGAGCTGGGGGCCCCCAATTAAGTCCCACCTGACTCCCAACCCACTGACATGAGAGATAACAAATGATGGTTGTTTTAAGCCACTAAACTTTGGGGTAATTTGTTATCCATCAAGAAAAAACAATACACATTTTGGAGCCAGAGAATGGGCATGGAGCAGCACATCAGTGAACCCAGCATGTCCGTGGGTTCTGGACAGTGAGGAAGTGCGGGGGCTGCACATAAGGGTCTGAAGGACAGGGGGGCAGAAGTCCTGCTGTGTACTGGCAGGAAGTTCGGCCACACTGTTGCCCACAGCTTTGTGAAGAGAAGAAAGTGTGCCGCGTGGACGGGGAGGCCTCTGGGATCTCCAAGCAGAGTCTGCAGGTGCGGCCTGGGGTGCTCTTGCCGCCCACTGTCGGCGTGGGAAGAGGGAGAGGCACAGGAAAGGGTTGTCAGCTGCCTCTCCAGACAACCAAGGATGCCAAGTTAGGAAATGGCACGGTCCACAGCGAAAGCCAGGACACAACTGTGGCACGGTGGGAGCCCGTCCCTGCGGAGACGGCCTCTCCGTCAGCTTGATGAGCAGCAAGTCCTCCAGGGCACTAACGTGCGCTGGCCTCAGCCATCTCAGCATGGACACCCCACAGGGAAGGGCCTGCTGCGAGAGTTTAGGTAGGGCTTTCCTCAAGTGGAATCCAGGAAGATTCACAACATACCCACAACACACTGGAAGACTTAGCTATGCAGAGACATCACCAGCTTGGGTCGAAAGGGACACAGACGGTACAAGACAAAAAGCCTTTGGATTCCTAAAGTCCTACCGGTAGGAAGCAGGCTGAGAAAACTGTCCAGCTGAAAACACATGCTATCTTTCCTGGAACAAGAAAGGTGATGCAGAGGCCAAAACCAAAAGCCCAGAGGGCTTCCCAATCCTTAGGAACTAATCCCAGGATCCCCAACTCTTCCCAGCTGGATTCCTGAACCGCTATGGGCCACAGACTCCCTTGTGTGTCCCACTGTCCCCTTTGAACAAGAACGCCAACGGCAGTTCATCTATGCCAGTCCCGCCACCGTGCAGGTGACAGCTTGTCTTTTTAGTTCCGTGGGTCCACAGGTGGGGAGGGCCTGAGCAGCTGTCCTTGAGGAGCCGTGACTCTACCTGGGCCTGATTTCGTGAAGGCCCTGGACTCTGAACTGCCACTGTAATGGGAGGTGGCTGGGGAAGCGGGAGGACACGGGTGTCTTTTACATCAGGAAGGATGTGGTCTACACCAGAGCACAGACTGTGGCAGGCAGCCTCTAAGACGGCCCCCAGTGACCCTGCCTCCTGGGGTTCATGTCCCTGGGTAATATTTCCCACCCCTGTTAAACGTGGGCTGGGCCAAGTGACTCACTCCTAACAAATATAATATGGCAGAACTGATGGGTCGTCTCTCTGAGCCTGGGTTTCTGTGGCTTCTGTCTTGGGTACTCTCAGTCTCTGTCTCCGATCACAAGCTGTCACATCCTGAAGACACTCAGGCAGCCTGGGGAGAGACCCACGTGACCGGGACTGAGGCCTGCCACCAACCACATGAGTGAGCTTGGAAGTCCCATCAACAGCCATGTGATGAGCTTGAAAGCAAATTCTCCTGTCCTAATCAAGTCCTGGAATGGCTGCGTCCCAGCTGTCAGCTGCACTGTGACTTCCCTGAGACCCTGGGCCACAGGCACCTGGTTAAGCCAGCCTTGGACCCCTGACCCATAGAAACTGTGAGATAATACACACTTGTTTTATGCTGCTAAATTTTGGAATAATTTGTTAGCTTATGTGCAAATCATTCCCATGTCCTGGGATCCAGTTAGTTCAAACCAGAAGATACAATCACATTTACAAGACCAAGGATTCTCTGAGATCTGCTAACCTCTTTGGGGTCCCTCCGGCCTGTGTGAGCCACAGGCTTTCCTCGTGACTCAGCAGGCAAGGGACAAGAAGCCATCCCAGGAAGAACCGCAGGTGTCCATGTCTCAGGGCGCACCCTGGGCAGCCACCGCCCCTCCTTCGCCCAGAGATCAGGCAGCATTATGTGGCACAGACCTGCTACTCCAGGGCCAGAACTGCTGGGTTCACACTGCCTCCCCCACAAAGTACCTGGGCAGCCCTGGGCCAATCACACAACATCTCCAGTTACTCATCTACAAAGCGGGAGCCCTTGTGAGGATTTAACAGAGCTGCGGACACAATGTTCCGTCAACTCCACTGACAGAAAAAGTCAAGTCACACTGAATTTTCGAGTTGAACTTCTACCTACAACCAGAACTCTGCGGAGGCATGAACCTTCCTCAGGGCTGGCATGGCCACTTTTCACTGAGAGCCTCCACTGGGTCAGAGCTCCTCCCTGGGCTCTGGGCTCAGCACCAGGGAGGTGTGTCCGTGTGCTTGCTGGCCTGGGAAGGGCTTTGTCCCAGGGAGTCTTGAACACCTGCCTTTGAGGCCTCCCTGACCTACAGAGGTTGGTGAAGGGACCCAGGCCAGCCCCACGAGAAGGGCTGGACCATCACGCCCCTGTCAGGTCCTCCCTGAAGCATGTGTCCAAGCTGCCCAGAGCCAGATCTGCAGGACAGTGAGGGAGCAGGATCACAGCCCCTTGAGCTCTGCTGGGGACACTGAGCCCTCTGTGGAGCAGGGGCACATTTGGAAGACGGCTGTACCAGGCACAGAGGGGGCACCTTCAGCTGATCTGCAGATTCCACGGAGAGGGTCAGAAGTGGGAAGGAGGGTGTCCTGCAGCTGACGCCCCCATAAGTCAGGGCCCGACCAGGATGGGACACCCCTTTGTCAAAGACCTCTCCCTGTCTCTAGGAAGCCTTCCTGACCCACACAGGGTCACAGGGCGCTCAACTGCCTGGGTCCTACAGCACATGCTGGGTACAGCATTCCGGGAGGGGGCTGTGTGCGCTCTCGAGCAAGGATACAGCTGGACCCGCCTGGACCCCAGCCAGCACCTCTCATGAAGATCTTACTCACCCCAAAGTCGAAGCAGTTGAATGAGGACCGGAAGTAGCTTCTGGGCCCCAGGCCATACATCTTCAGGGACATCTCTGTGAGGAAGAGACCCAGGAAAACAAACTCTGCAAAGTCTAGGAGAAGCCGGAGAAGAGAGGGATTAGCTCTCAGCCTCCCCCCACCTGGCTCCAGCCCAGACTGGAGGACACCAGACCTCTGGGCCCTCCCAGGGTTGAGCCCTGCAGGCCTGGTCTGTGGCCCCTGAGCTCAGAAGTCTCAGCTCAGGAGGAGAATAATGAACGGATTGGGACCGGGAGGGGCCCAAAGAGATGCCTGTCCACTCTGAAATGTGGTGCTGCCCAGAGACAGGCCCTGCGGGAGGTGAGGGCCTGGGACTGGGCTCGGGAGTGAGTTCCGGGGCCACACAGTACTCCCCAGAGGACGGCCTCAGACCCATTCTTCTGCCTTCAGGCTTGCTCCCCACCCCATGTTCTGAGCATGGTGGAGACCCTCAGCCTCCTCATCAGAATCACCCTGTCCTCCATGAGGACTTCCCCAAAACCCTTCCAAAACCCCCACATCACCGTGTTTGGTTTTCACTTTGTTCATGTGTTCACCTACCACCCAATACTGGACCGGCCAGCATGGGGCTCCCAGGAGGCGCCAACACTTGCCACCCCCTGGCTCTACGAGCCACACAGAGGCTCCTGGGCACCTTCACCCTCCTGCAGGCGACCCCTCCTGCCTAGCCACTGGGAGTGCAGACCCTCAAGGGCCTCAGGACCAAAGGGAGGCCATACTGGAACTGAGGGCCATGCTGGGAATTCCATTCAGACAAGACACAAGCCCTAGCCAGGCCCGAACAACACGCACGGCCAAGGCGAGAAATAACAGGTCGTCCGGACAGCGAGAGAGGCAGCGGGCTCTGCCAGTGGTCAAACCAGGAAGTCCAGGAAGCAGAACAAGGTCACTGTCTCTGATCCTCCTCCCCAGGTGCTGAGCTGGAATCAGCTCATTATTTTTTTTTTTTTAAGATTTTATTTATTTATTTGAGAGAGAGAGAATGAGAGACAGAGAGCAGGAGAGGGGGAGGGTCAGAGGGAGAAGCAGGCTCCCCGCTGAGCAGGGAGCCCGATGCGGGACTCGATCCCGGGACTCCAGGATCATGACCTGAGCCGA